AACTCCAAGCCTACAAGTGCCTCATAAACCAGACGCAGCCAATCCAATTACACGAGAGGCCAACAGTGCAGCGTCTATCCAGTGGAAAAAGGCAAAGGGCGGTGAAAAACTTGATACCTCTGAATCTAACTAACCCGCCCAACAAGTGAAGGTCACTCGTTTCACCCCGCCACGGCCACTTACTCACTGAAATCACACCCCGTCCGTCTACAGTACCTCACCTCACCTTGGATTTGGAGATCCAATCTCAGTCCATCTCAACCTAACAAGCACCAAGACCACTCCTACAGAGACGCACTCTCTATTGCTTGACCCTGAACCCGCAATCTCGCGCTCTTCTTCCGGGCCCCCCTTCCCTTCCCTTCCTTTCCCTTGTCGTCGTCTTATTATAAGATATCTCCACATCCTCTTCTTCTCTCTCGACTTCTCTTCCATCTCTTCTTCTCTTTGTCTTCCTTCCTCTTCTGCTTCTTCTCCCCCACCAACAGTCTCTTTCTCTCCCCAAATATTTCATCATGTCTCGTCCTCAGAACATTGGCATCAAGGCCATTGAGCTTTATGTCCCTAGTCAGGTAAGCTGAGATATTCCCTCTGCGATTGTTCGCGATCGTCACACGATCTTCATTGCCCTCATGGTCTCCTGTTTCTGCTGGGAACTGCTGTCGTTGAATCTTGCCCCTCACCAAACTTTTTGGATGGGACAAAAAAAAAGTCCCTGCGTTATTACTCTCGTGTTCGGGTTCTGGTCGTGTGCCCCTCCATTCAGATTGTGCCCCTCTATCCCAACGCTTGAACGAGCGCCTCTTTGATGACCCCAGCTAACCACAATTTTATTTGGTCTTTAGTATGTTGATCAGGTTGAGCTCGAGAAGTTCGATGGCGTTAGCGCCGGAAAGTACACCATTGGTCTTGGCCAGACCAAGATGAGCTTCTGCGACGACCGTGAGGGTAAGTTTCCCCAATTCTTCACCGTCCCCTGAAAAGACGATGTTAGCGCATTGCGCCTATCCTCACCGCGTCCTAGGCAAAATCCCATGATGGCATTGGATCACCGCTAATGTACGATTTCTGCAGACATCTACTCTTTCGCCCTTACTGCTACCTCCAAGCTCCTCAAGAACTACAACATCGACCCCAACTCGATTGGTTACCTCGAGGTCGGTACTGAGACTCTTCTCGACAAGTCCAAGTCCGTCAAGAGTGTTCTTATGCAGCTTTTCGGCGACAACACCAACATCGAGGGTGTCGACACTATCAACGCTTGCTACGGTGGTACCAACGCTGTTTTCAACGCCATCAACTGGGTTGAGTCTTCCGCTTGGGACGGTCGCGATGCTATTGTTGTTGCCGGTGATATTGCTCTCTACGCCAAGGGTAACGCTCGGCCCACTGGTGGTGCTGGTGCCGTCGCTCTCCTGATCGGCCCCAACGCCCCCATTGTCGCCGAGCCCGGTCTGCGTGGCACCTACATGCAGCACGCCTACGATTTCTATAAGCCCGACCTTACCAGCGAGTACCCCTATGTTGATGGCCACTACTCCGTCAACTGCTACACCAAGGCCCTCGATGCCGCTTACCGCGCTTACTGCAAGCGTGAGGCCAAGCAGGCCACTAACGGCACCAACGGTGCTTCCAACGGTGACGACTCTACCAAGACCAGCCTCGACCGTTTCGACTACCTTGCTTTCCACTCCCCTACTTGCAAGCTTGTCCAGAAGTCTTACGCTCGTCTCCTCTACCACGACTACCTCGCCAATGCCGACTCTCCTGCTTTCGCCGAGGTCGCTCCTGAGCTCCGTGACATGGACTACGAGAAGTCCTTGACCGACAAGGTTGTTGAGAAGACCTTCATGGCCCTGACCAAGAAGCGTTTCCAGGAGCGTGTCAACCCCTCCATCCAGGTCGCCACCAACTGTGGTAACATGTACTGTGGCAGTGTCTGGGGTGGTCTTGCCAGTTTGATCAGCGTTGTCGACAACAAGGCTCTTGAGGGCAAGCGAATTGGTCTCTTCAGCTACGGATCTGGTCTTGCTGCCAGTTTCCTGTCTTTCCGCATCAACGGCAGCGTTGAGAAGATCTCCAGCGTCCTCAGCATCCCTGCCCGTCTTGAGGCCCGCCGCGCTGTCCCCCCTGAGACCTACGACGAGGTAAATAGAGAATACTTCGACGCAATACATTGAAAACGTGTGCTAACTGTTTCTCTTAGATGTGCAACCTCCGAAAGCAGGCTCATCTCCAGAAGGACTACACTCCCAAGGGCGACGCCTCCACCATCGCCCCTGGTACTTACTACCTTACCAAGGTCGACGACATGTTCAAGCGCGAGTACGCTATCAAGGAGTAAAGGATCATCTTTTGAAAAAACCAAAGAATCCTTGCTCGAACAACCTTTTATACGAGACATTTTTCGCTTCTGGACTTGGTTCCATTACAGCTATGGACCTAGCAGTAAGCATATCATGAACATGATGACTTCAATGGGAGAAAACTAGACGCACGGGGAAGAAGAATACAGCGGATGATGATAGAAGCGCAATTCGCGCAGTGGGGATTGACATCGAGGTCCTCTAATTGAGCTAATAATCATGGACATTATGGCTTGTGGAAATACTGGGGACCGTCTCTCCAGGGAGATTTACGAGGAAGTTTGTGAAGGCCGGTACCATATAGACCTGGTCATTTGGCACTTAGAAGAGTTTACGATACTTGGAATATAAAAAAAGTATTTCAATTGATCAAGTTTTCTCTAACTTGTGTCTATTCTTCTATCAGCCACACTGTGTGTTTATCAGTATTTGTGACATCTAAGAACGTGGGCTTCGAAGCCGTGTTCCGATACTTTTACAACTATCTTCTACTCGTACATAATAAATAGGGGTATTCGTCTACTTCTCCTCCTTGAACTTCCACTCTGCGTGTCGGTGGAGCATGTAGTCCTTGCTCTGAATGCCCTTCCAGATACCATACAGGCCGCCCAGCGGGGGCTTGCTCTTGAGAGAACGCTTCCATTTCTGTCGTTCTTCTTTTCGTGCTTCAACATCAACCTTGACCTTGTCATGAACAGTAGGAAGTGTCTCGGCGTGATATTTCTTTCGCAGAGCCTCATACCATTGTCGGTCGTAGAGCTTCCAGAACTCCTCTTCGTTGTAATAAGTGTGAGCATAGAGCCACTTCAGACCTCCAAGCTCAACAAGCTTATCTTCGAGAGCGCGGTTCTTGGCAACAAATTCATCTGGGTCAGAAGGTCCCCAGCCCCAGAGACCAATGTTCAGTGACGGTGGAGTGGTCACAGTTCCGTCAGCAGCAGCTGTGGTCTCGCCCGTGTGAGGATGGAAAGTTGGCGGAGGTGTCTGCTTCAAAGGACAGAGCCAGAGGGGCCAGATGTTGAAGTTCTCAGCAGTGTAATCGACAAAGGTCTCGGCAGTCTTATAAGGCAGACCCAGATCCTGGACGATGAAACGCGCAGACTCGCCGCTGCCATGAAGAGCGCGGTACAGCATACGAGTGTGAAGGAAATCATCGAGGAACCAGCGGAAGAACTTTGTGAAAGGAACACCCTTGAAGTAAGTGAAAGCAGCGGCGCCAACCCAGAAACCACCGCGGTCATAGCGGAAGAAGTACTCGGCAAGAGGGATGTAATCAACAGGAGAGGATGAGGCAGATCCGGCGGAGACAGTAGGGCCAGCGGAGGGAACGTTGCGAGTGCGATCTTGAACATGGAGATAATACCAGGGATCCCAAGCACCACTGAAGGTCTGGGGCTTGATATCAGCAGGCTTGTCATCAGTCAGGGTACCAGTAACAACGACACCGTGGTCCTTGGAGAAGAGGATGCCGTCGACATAGTCATTGGAGGGGTTCTCGGTCTCGGCGCGGATTCGGGCAACAGCTTCGGCGACACTGCTCGTACGATGGTAGGTCGTCTTGACAAACTTCTTGGCTTCTTGAAGTTGAAGCTCAAGAAGCGTAGTCATGCCCAAAGAACCGACAGCTCCAGCAGCACCACGGAACAAGTCAGCGTTCTCCTGCCGCGATGCTCGAACAACCTCGCCATTTCCAAGAACCATCTCGGCCCAATTGACAGTATCATTGAAGAATCCGTGCTTGAACGAGGAGCTCTCGCCAGCTGTGCCTGCAAACCCTCCTCCGGCTGTGATACCAGGAAACTCCATAACCACAGGCGGTACAAGGCCATGCTTCAGCGTAGACTCAACAAGTTTATCCATTGGAACATTGGGCTCGACGAGAGCAGTGCGAGTCGCGCGATCGACCTGGAGGACATTTCGAAGGGCGCTGATATCGACGACGGGTTTGCCTGTCTGCTGAGGCCGTGTGCTATTTGTGCTGCCGTGGAAGATGCGGTATGGCTCACGGCGCTCGAAGAAGCCGCGGACGGCAGATGCGATGGTTGTCACAGCCTGCTTGTGGCGCTCCATTGTCGGGGACTGGGACCCGGGTTCTGAGTCTGGAGGTGGCTTGTTTTGCTCTTGAGGTGAAGCGATCAGCGACATTTGGGATAAAAGTCTGGTGGGTCTCCCCGTGCGGGCCGGTCTCGGGGATCGGAAGTGGTGGAGGCGGAGCCGGAGACAGAATTGGAAGTGATAATGGGATTGTTTTAAAAAGAAGCAAATGATATTTACATGGAGGAATTGTTGTTTTGGTTTCTAAGTCTCGTTGTACGTAGCGCGGTGCTGATCCTATAAGTCTTGGCTTATAAGTTCCGAGGGTGCCGGTCGTTAAAGTTTCAGTTGCTGGGCCGCTCACTCATGTAAGTCAGACATCCGTACGTCAAAGAGACACTACTTAAGCTAGAATCCCTCACGAGATAAAAGACAATACATCATCATCAGAATTGTAATTTATGCTATTAAAAAGGGCAGTTGACTTTAGATAATATATTCCTAGCGCCTAGCTTTCAAACAGTATCCCATCTGTGTATCCGATCCCTTACATGCCCAATTGCGTTTCAAACCGTCGTCAAGTAAACCAACCATTTAACGTTACAGCTTAGCTACTGGTGTTTCTATAATCCGATCTTCTAGCCCTGTCTTCTGAAGCACCCTTTGTTGAATATGCTCTTCTGAAACATCACTCAACTGGTCAAACCTCAATGGCACCTCTTCGCATGTTTTTGCCCTTATCATGACAGCACTCGACTCAATATTGTCGGGGTCTTCCACTGCGGCACGTATGAATGATGCCCAGCCGTTGTAGCACCGTGGCGTTGCAGGAGCGTTACGCAGCATCATAGCAAAGCAGTGCGGCATGCCTTCGTACTCCTCGAACACCACTCGCACACCATCAGCCTCGAGTTTGCGAGCAAGAAACTTGTCCTCATATGCGAGGATCTCCCATCCCGTGCAAAGGTAGATAGGCGGCGCCCCTTTCCAGCTGCGTGCCATGACGAGAGATGCAAGAGGGTGAGCAGCGAGGTCGTCGGCGACGTACATGTTGCGTCGTGGTGGGTTAGCTGGCCAGGCCTCACACGGAGGGACTGTGCGCTTCTTGATGGCCTCCGGCTTGGGAAGATAATCACATGGCGTTGGTGTTGACATCTCCCATGTTGGAGAGCTTTGTGTAATGTCAAGCCACGGAGAGTTGAGTGCTACGCCAGCTGGCATGGGAACCTGACGCAGCTCGCCGTGCCACAGAATTGGAGAGTCTTGTCTGCGGAGCTCGAGGATGAGTTGGAGTAACGACAGTGAAAGATTGCCGCCAGCGCTATAACCTCCTGTGTTAGTTCTTGTGTCACACGACCCAGACTCGAGACGTACCTGTCACCAGCAATCACAATATGCTCCGGTTGCACAGGATCATGATAAGCATCGGGAGGCGGATATAGAAGCGTCAAGTAAGACACAAAAGCGTCAAGCAACGCCGCAGGGAATGGATGCTGCGGCGCAAGTCGATAGCGCACGGAGTAACACCGACCCCCCGTCAACTGCGCCAGCTTTTTCGTCGTAGGACGATGTGTTGCTGGGTCACAGAGATAGTAAGCACCGCCGTGCAAGTACAAGACTGTTGTTGGCTTCTTGCACTCTTGCATCATGCCGTGATACCTCTCCCGCTCCGACACGTCAGGCAACGGAGCGCCACGGGCTACACCGCTCCGGTAACCGGTCCACTCGGCCTCGACATCAACGAGATCGGGAACGGGGACTCGGCAGGTGGAGCCTCCGAGGTGTTCGAGTGTACTGATGAGGGCATCGCGGACTGATGTCTCTGGGGGTTGTGGACTGGCATATTTGCTAACCCAGATGTGCCCCTTTACACCAGAGTCACGGAGTGTAAGTCGTTGGACAGATGAGATACTACGGGGAGCTTTTGGGGTGAGAATAACGCGAAGACAGGCGATGATGATGGCGCTTCGCAGGTCGAGGTATTTGGATGAGTCGGAAAGGTTGAGGAGGTGTGCTAGGCCCTGGCGGACGATGAGAGGGAGTAATGGAACAACTGTCCGTACAGTCTCCAGAGTTGCTGAGTCCATAGCGGTATGAATGTCAAGATTATGTCAAGTAGAGGATTGTCGCTGAAGTTATAGTTGTTGATGCGAGTGGAATGACAGTGATTTCAAGGCAAAGACGAAGAGTTCAAGACAACAGATGGGCATGAGACAGGTCGAGGCCGACTTGATATAATCAGAGCAACAGAGACTTGCCTGATTGAGACCCAAGTCATAAAGGTACGGGTCATAGGTCAGAGGGAGGGGTAGCAGGAGAGAAGACCAGCTGAGGCAGTTCAAGAGTTGTCGTACAGCGGCCTCTAACTAGACAAAGAGTTAGGAACCCCTAGGATCCAATTTCAATGATCTCCCCCGAACAGAGTCCAATCAGGGGCTGCCGCTTCTGTTTGGAATCGCGTCAAAGTCCTTGTCCGGAATGGCGGTCTTGGAGATCCATGACACTTTGTTGCTTTGCCACTTGTAAGTGTAAGTGGGCTTTTAGGTGTGGTTACCTAGAGCCAGCGTGAACTCTCTGGCAGCTGAGAGGTTGATAGTTAGGTTGTGACAAGTTGTTCCTTTTCAATTTTCATTTTTCACAGTCTACTAATCACGGAGAAATCAGAGTGTGCGATCAGTTGAGGTGATGCGTTGGTTCAACAAAATGAGCCTCGGCACGCGGAATTAGTTCACAACCAACCTTCAAGTGACGTCTACATGGAGTTGCAACTAGCGCTTCAGACATGAATCAGATCCCTCGGCAACAGAACCAGAGTTATATTGCGGGGACTGGCTAGTAAATATGACAAGACGAACTCTTACATAGTGTGCCTTCATTTACTCCACTAGGTAAGGTAATTCTTTTGAGATGAAAGCCTTCAACGGCGGTCAATGCGTTGGTCGAGTGTGGGTTATGAGACTGGTAGGCTCATCAAGCCCAAAGTGGTAATTCTTGCGGAAAAGCGTCAAGGTTGAGTGCATGCGCGATAGCAAGGGGATGCATGTAAGCGCACGCGAGGTGGGAAGAAGCAAACAACTAGGCGCGGAACTTAAAACAATATTGGTATTGGATCTTGCAGGCTTTTCTGTCCAAATCAGGCATCTTGCATATCATAACATCTTCATAGCATCTGTCAGGGTTCGGAGTATTTTTGCTGGATTTGAAGAACTATTACGACTTGTATATTCATTATCAAAGGATCATGCCTGGCCTGCCACATCTACAACAGATGAATAGCCTTGGGACTTTGTCAATTAGGCTCCAATAAGTAATGTGGTAAAATTGACAATGGTGATATAACGCTACAATACCAAACCATCCCGCCACGTAAACACTTCCATTCAGCAGACCCGATTATTCCAAAACTATGGATGCATAAATATTGTACAATTATGGTCAAGTACACTCTTCACTGTTTCAAGAGCTGGAACTAGCACCAGCCTTTGACTCGTCGGCCTTGACCTGAGTCGACGAGGTATCATTCTGGTTAGCCATGGCCATCTGCCAAGCAGGGATAGACTTCTTGCCGGTCATGTTGGCGAGAGGGGAGGATGAACGGTTAAGTTGAGGAGCAGAGGGGAATGTAGGCTTGGGAACTTCTGCAGCAGGAGTGGTGGTAGCCGATTCAACTGCGGCCTTCTCTCCGTTGGTCTTAGCAGCAGGAGTCGAGGTAGAGGCAGCAGGAGTAGCCATGCTGGAGCTTCCACCGGCACCGACAGTTCCGGCTGTGCCTCGCATATAGGTGTTCATGGTTGAAGAACCGGTGCTACTGCTGGGGGCGGTCATGCGCTGAGATACCAATGTCTTGAGACTGGTGAGCTCGGTGTTGATCTCCTTCAGCCGGTTATCAGTCAGGCCCTTCTGGTTCTCGAGAGCCTTAGGAATCGCGTCCTTGAGAGACTGAACCTCGTCACGAATTCGGGTCGCATCGTCCTCCCGACGACGATTCGCAGCCTTGAGGTCGGTCATAACTGTCTCGAGGTCCGCGATCGCTGCGTCCAGCTTTTCGGTTCGCTCCTTTTCGGCATTCTTCAGACTCTCCGTATCCTTCGCAAGCTGCTCAACAAGCGTGAAAGCTCGGTCAAATTGGTCCTCGATCGATTTCTTATCTTGTTCCAATTTCTCTGGTGTCGGAGGGGCGACCATTGGATATACGTAGCGCTGGTCGCACGTTAGCTTACATCATCAAAATCGCTACAATGACAAGCACGAACCTTGCCTAACTCATAGAGGCCATAAGAGACGCCTCCAACGACTGTGGCCATGATGAACCAGTCTCTCCAGTCCCTACGGGGAGGAGGTGGCGGTGGTTGCCAGGCATGCTGTGGATAGGGGGGATAGTATTGTTGACCAGGAGGAGGGCCGGCGGGAGCGCTGGGATAAGGCGCGTTGGGAGCTGGAGGTGCGCTGCCACCTGTTCGTGCCAGCGCAACATCAATTTCTTCTTGGGTCAGGTTCTTGCTTCGAAGGAATGAGATGCGGTTCTCGACGGAGGATGACGCGACACTTGGGTCCTGGAGAACTGCCATGGGTTAGTCGGCGCATTCATAATGGCTGAATCAGATTCAATACTGACATTGGGTCTGTTCAGGAGTTAGCATCTACTGGGTTCTATTCCAATAGCTTTGGTGGCTGGGGAAGTAGAGCAACTTACTGCAGAGGATACGAGATCCTCGCGAATAGCCATGATCGATGTTTAGCCGTCAGACGGCTCTCACCACATACCCTGAGTCGCAATGGGAAGAAGTTGTAGAAGTAACTCCTGAAAGGACTTGGGCGATGCTGATGGAAACGTTGAATGCATGTGCTAGTTCAGCTTGCGGAGGTCGGACCGTGGAGTTCAAGAACGTGGAGGCGTGGAGTCGGAAGCGTGACCGGTCTGTACCGAGGCTTCTCCCAATTGACCTGCCGAGATACGTACCGCAAACGGTTTCCGTCAGATTGAAGCTGCAGATGCGATCACGTGTAATCTTAATTGAATATCCACCTTTGCCAACTCAACCGCTACTCCACCAGAGACAACACAGAAGTTATCGACCAATCAGGCCGAGCTGATGGTTTGTTTACTTTCCTCCCGAGCAACACTCTGTAACGCCTAATCTCCCCTACCCTACTCTCTTTACCTGACTTTACGCCATTCTGCATTTTCACATCCCACTTTACATCAACACCATTAATCACGACGACCCCTCCGCGCATACAACAACTCACGATAGTCGCCTGATTTGCGCAAGCATCTCATTGCAGTCGCGTGTCTCCCCTTTCACTAGATCATGTCCCAAGATACGGGCCTTTGGAGCGTCCGTAGACCCAGAGAGGTAAGAATACAGAATATCTTCTACCAGCTTTTGCGCCCAACTGGTAGACCGCCATTCCCGCGCATCGGCCTGAGCAATGTTGATTCTAACCTGCAACATAGACCCTTGGTGGTATTAATGCAAACAGTGCCATTCCGCAGCCTGGTTCGACTATGAAGCGATCCAGCTCCAATATTGGCGGCAATTACCCTGGCAGTCATGTCCGTTCCATGTCGGGATCTAGGCAATCCCTTGCCATGCCGCGACCTAACCAGCCTCTGTTCCAACGCTCGTCATCCGGAACCAATCTTGCCGACCTTGGCCTTTCGTCGGTGAAGCGCTCTTCATTTGCTCCTAAAGCCTCAGCCTTCACACCAAACCCTACAACACGAGCTTCCACTGATGGCGATCGACGCAGCAGCGTGTACCGACCTCGTCAATCAACCGCTCCTCCAACGACACACCAGAGTTTCTTTCAAACTACACCAGCCCCAGCTGGTGTACCCCGCGACCCGCGACCCCTGAAAGATCGATCTTTTCAAGCTCGTATTGGACAAGAAATATTGGAATACATGGTTCAACACAACTTCGAAATGGAGATGAAGCATGTTCTTTCGCAAAATGTGCTCAAATCGCCGACGCAGAAGGATTTCAACTACATGTTCCAGTGGCTCTATCATCGTATAGACCCCAGCCATAAGTTCCAGAAGAATATCGACCAGGAAGTGCCTCCCCTACTCAAACAAATGCGATACCCCTTCGAAAGAAGTATCACAAAGAGTCAGATTGCTGCCGTCGGAGGACAGAACTGGAGTACATTCCTTGGCCTTCTTCACTGGATGATGCAACTGGCACAGATGCTCGATGGCTATGTAAACTGCCAATACGATGAGGCTTGTATGGAGAGCGGCATTGACGTTAGTGGCGACCGCATCATCTTTGACTTCCTCAGCAATGGTTACCGTGATTGGTTGGCTATGGACGAAGATATGGGCGATGAGGAGGCTGAACGCGTTTTGGCTCCTCATGTTCAATCCATGGCAGCCGCCTTTGAGCGATCAAACTCCAAATACACATCAGAACTCGAAATGCTTGAAGCTGAAAACGCACGACTTCTCAAGGAAATCGAGGATTTGGAAAAGTCGACACCCGACCCTGCGGTTCTCGATAACCACTTCAAGATCATGGAGGAGGATAAGATCAAGTTTGAAGAGTATAATGCCCTGGCGATGCAAAGGTCCGAGAAGTACGAGAGCCGGTCTCAAGTCCTTCAAGAAGAGCTTGACAAACTCATGGAAGAGCTTCAAGAGGCGGACGAGGAGCGACGAAGCCTACAAAAAGCTGTGGATGCCCAAGGAATCAGCATGCAGGATATTGACCGCATGACTGCAGAGCGGGAGCGATTGCAGCGCGGCATTGAGTCAGCTGGCCAACGACTGGAGGAAGTAAAGAAGAAGGTCACTGAGCGAGAGACCGAGGCGAGCCGAAAACTAGATGAATTGGAGCAAATGGTGGATCGATACAACACAATGGCGTATCAGATTGCACTGATCCCTTCGACGGCAGCCAACGCCAAGGGCAGGGAGTTTGAGCTCCAGGTCATGGTGGCTGATAGCTCGGATTACACTTCTACCAACTTGAAGGGATCATCAGGCCCGTCATCTGCGGATCGTCTGCTTGTTGACGCCACCACCGGATATCAAGCAGGCCATATTCTCAACTTGGACCTTCGGGGACAAATCCGAAACAGCTTCCTGTCTCTACGCAAGGAAATCTCAGATCGCCGAGCAGCGGCAATGGAAGAAATGATGAAGGATCACGATCTGCTTGATGGCATAAAGGAGGCCATCGAGGACAGGCGCAGCGAAGTGGAGGCACTGAACCACCGTGTTCGAGCAGCAGAAGAGGAGTATGAAAGAACGAAAGAGGTGTCGACAGCACAGAAGATGGCCTCTGACGCACATATTGAGAAGATGGAGAAGGAACTGTCGCGTATGCGAGCTGGCTTGTCTGAAAACGTGCAGATTCTGGAGCAGCGTGAGATCAACACAACAATTGAGTAAGTGGACACGCGCTTTTGATCAAAGTGACAAGTACTGACGGGGCAAACAGATACGAGCAACTTGTGCTTCAGGCCAACGCTCTCCGAGAAGAGCTTCACACCGAGATTGACAGAATGCTCAACGATGTCATCAAGTTCAAAATTCATGTCCAAAAGAACCTTGACGACTACGAGGGCTTTGTAGCAGACGAACTCGAGAAGGAGCTCGGTAGTGACGAGATGGGCGAGGAGACTCGACAGATGGATATGTGATGAGAGCTACGCATGAAGCAATCTTCTGAGACGCTTATGATGACGATTAATGTTTCGGGCGGCCTTCTGGTTTGTTTTAAGGCGTTTGGCTTCATGATTGGTCGGCTGATGGATGAGTGAGAGCAGTTGGACACAATTTCGTCTGACTGGTCCCTGTCTCAAGTATACATGCTCCCTTTCTGGTAGGCATGCCTTTGACGAGCGTGAGTTTGAGCATTATGACACGTTAGTAATGGTAGATACCTGGTGGTTTGCTTTGGTGTTTTTAGGAAAGATACCACGAGGCTGTCTGATATAGTTGGCCTTGATTACGAAAATTCTAGTTACGGAAAAAAGCACAACGACGTTGTTTCTCAATTATCAAGGTTGCAATACTATGTAATAATAAGCTGACGACAACGTACGTAGCATGGCAAGCATGGGCACCACATGGCGGCGACAAGGATGGTCAGCACCTTGCCAGGGGGCTCCCGAAGATGCCAGCAGGGATAGCTAGCTCCATGGCTGCAATGATGGATGATTCGTGGGCAGAAGAGACTCTCTTCTCTGTAGGGTCGTATTATATATATCTTATGAGCTGTGATATTGGAGTGAACAATACGGAGTACGAAGTACAGTCCACGGACAAGAAGTTCGCTAGAATAAGACCAGGATACAATAGAAGTCTTTTCTGTTGCATTCGGATTCGTTTATTCCCCGGATGTCCTCGGAAGATCCTCTTAATTGCCCCGGTCGGGGAGTCGGGGGGTTGTAATTTGCGAGCGGGAAAGTGATGCAAACTCCGCCAAGGCCCTGTAGGGCATTTATTGAGTTGGGGCTGGAGTTATGTATGAATACAAAAGTGAGGCATATGATGAAGCTAAAGAGCTTGTGATGGATCTGTTTCAGACTACAGATTACCTTAGATGAGAGCACCTAACTAGTATGGGCTGTTGAGTATCGCTTAGACCACTCATGTGAATATCATATTCGTGTCTCAGCTGCATAACTGCCCAATAAGTCACAACAATCAGTGTTAACTCCGCCAAGTTTTATCCCCGTTATACCCATTGCACCCATCTAATGGCCCCTAGTGCTAATCTCGGCTTCCATGATGCTTCCATTGTTGGTCCTGGAATGTACTTGCCTAGACTCCAAAGGTCATAGCTCCCTCACCCATTCTCTCTCAGTGTCTCTCTCCCTCTTGTCTCTGCCTCTGCCTCTTCTTCTGCCGTGTCTCTCCATATTTTTTACCTGACGTCTACATCTCCACCTCCTCATCTTCTCTCTTCTCTCCCTTCTCTTTTTCATCTCTCTTGGTCTTCCCTTTCATCAATGGATGCCAAATAATCTTGCCTGGTTGCCCTGGTCCAATCACCCTTGCCTCGTGCAACTGCAACTCTGCTAAAGTCCGAAGCATCCGGTTTGGGACATTGCTACCACATGCCGCGTACTTCTTTGACGATCCGTCAACTGAGTTATCATTTTGGATCAACGAAAAATACTAAACCCTTGGCTTTTGCTTCCGCGTACTCAACTCTTTCCTCAGAATCCTCTACCATCATGGCTCCAGCCGCAACTGCTGCTTCGGCTCAATTGAAGCCTCCGGAGCTGGCTACAAGGAATGCACCTGGCTCATCTGGAGGATCTGTCGCCTCTAGCACTGCCGTATCCAAAATACCTGGTCGATCAGCTCTTCCAGATGAAGCTGTTTCCAACCCTCACCATCTCCTCAAGCGTGGCTCTCTAGTGGGCTTCAAGAATCCTTATCCTTCACATGCATACACTCCCAACTTCGGTACCATGGTTCGAAGAGTCTGGTGGTAAGTGAGGACTTGGTCATGTCAAGAGCGCTTCGCCGTCCAGAAACTGATGATATCGTTTTAGGCCCACTTTCACCGGCGACATGAAGCAACCCGATTTGACTCCCCCAACTGTGCCAGTCGTAAAGCCGCAATGGAATACTGAGCGCGAAACGTGCGATAAGATCCGCGCAACATGGTTAGGCCACGCTTGCTACTATGTCGAATTCCCTTCTGGCCTGCGCGTTCTCTTCGACCCTGTCTTCGAGGACCGATGCTCTCCATTCAACTTTATGGGACCAAAGCGATATACGCCCAAGCCATGCGATATCAAAGATATTCCAATCATCGACGCTGTTTGCATTAGCCATTCCCATTACGACCACCTTTCACATTCTTCCATTCTCGAGGTCCAGAAATATCATCCAGACGCACAATTCTTCGTTGGTCTGGGTCTGGAGACATGGTTTCGCAAGTCTGGCATCAACCATGTTACTGAGCTCGATTGGTGGGAGGATGCCGACCTCACTGTCACAGTCAAGGATGGAGACAGTCCCCGCGAGATCAGCGCCAGGATAATGGCTTTGCCGTGTCAGCACGGTTCGGCGCGGACCATGTGGGATCGTGACACTACCCTATGGTGCTCGTGGGGTGTTCGATCTGGCGACAAGTCAGTTTGGTTTGGTGGCGACACGGGCTACCGATCGGTCCCAAGTCTCCCTCCTGGAACCGATGACTACAGTGCTGAATATGATCATCTTCCGAGATGCCCTCAGTTCAAACAGATTGGCGAATTCCGGGGACCTTTTGATCTTGGCTTGATTCCAATTGGTGCCTACCATCCGCGTGTGGCATTTTCGCCGGTGCATGCGGATCCGGCTGACGCCGTCGAGATCTTCCGCGATACACAATGCAAGCGTGCAATGGGAATTCATTGGGGCACGTGGGCGCTCACGTTGGAGGAAGTTCTGGAACCACCTAAGATGCTGAAGACGGCTCTTCGAAAGAGAGGTCTACCCGAGGTGGGCGTATTTGATGTTTGCGATATTGGTGAAGCTCGGGAATTTTAGTTTGGGTGTAAAAAAGGACTTGGAGTCTGGAGAAGCGAGACATGTTTGCAGATGTAAATACCCTGATTTGTTTCAAGGCCCAGTCAGAACTGATGGCATCCACCTCAGCTGGATGAGAGGTACACTGCGTGATTTTGTATACTACCTTCATTCAACTCAAGACCGGGGCTTTGTAGAAGGTTACAAATTAATTTCCACTTCTTGTAAGCTCTTTAAGAATGAGAAGAATAAACCCCCCCGAAATGATGTCACAGTAAGACCCTGATCGACAATGGCCCGAGTTGGCAATGAGTGTCCAATCAAAGCTTTACTCTGACAATGATAAACTGTCAACCAGCCTAGACCAGCTCCTCCTGGCTTGTCACAACGGGTCAAAACGGAGCTCAACAAGGAGTCTAGAATTAATCCTCACTTTCTTTCTCATCTGAGAGGCCATTCCTTGCTACTGGTTCCACGGTAGCTTGAGCCACAGGTGACGTACCTCACTCGCCACACTATTGCCACATCATGTATAAGAGACTCCTTCACACTCAGGTGTTCATCGTGACAACTACAAATCTTGAGCTTCAAAATACACAATTTTCACACGTTTCGATCCTTGTTTTCTCTTCTGACCTACCACGACACAAAACCCTCACAATCAAACATCATGGGTCTCCCCGCTTTCTCAGAGCCAGCAACAACCACTTCTCCTCAAACCCCGCAACAAGAACAGAATCACAGCACTGGCGTTGCTACCGGTGCCGGCGCAAACACTGGCGCAGGGGTGACAAGGCCCAAGACTGAAGAGGAGAAAGAGGCCGATCGACTTTATGAGGAGGCTATGGAGGAGGAGTATGCTAAGCGTGATGGAGGTGCCTAAGCATGGAACAACTCAAGCATGACTCAAAGTGCAGATTTACGACCTGAAGTCAATTGACCAGAAATGATAGCTAGAAGGATGGTAGTCTCAACTCTGGACAGAATTAAATAATACAAGTTTCAATATAACACTAAGGTTCGCCTGATATGTGATCTACGTATTCCAAGCGGTGGATGATATATTGTTAACAGTGACGTCTATGAACAAATCGATAATGACAGTAGGCCTGGCCAGAGATGGCTCAAAGCTCCGGTGCATGAACACCATAAAGCTAGATTGGTTGATGTATATACAGAAAGTTAGAGTGAGTGAGGCTATAGGATATATCATGTTCCCGCCGTCCTATTATACATTTATCTTGGCGGCCTCGTTTATATGCCAACTTTCGTGACCATGGGTTCTGGAGGAGCTATCTATTGGCGCTGGCTGTGTTATAGGACTCAAATATCCGGGGTACACCTCGGCAGAATCGAGAGATACTCGTTCCATCAATCAGATGGCTCAACGCCACCTCAGATTGTTTACCAAGCTGGTGTTCGTTGTCTGATCTCTTGAGCAGATGCTCGTAATCACCCTGGAGTTGTCGCACTCCCATGGTCAAAGTATATTCTCCAGCCCAGAGATTTCTATGCCGCCATTGATGACTCTATGTCTGGATAGACTATTCAGCTCTTCTGGGCAGGAGACAACAATGAGCAGTCCAGGAGTCGATATTCCTTCCTGGCGTGATATTGAACTGCACTTCGTTGGCTTTGTGTAGAGTATAGTGTGGTGCCGAACCAAGTCGGTCTCGGGGTTCGGGAATCAGGCACTTGGACGACAAAAATCCTAATGATAGTAGAGTAAAATCATTCAATCATTCTCTCGCAGTCTTGCCAATGCAGCAGCAATACCGCCACTAAGTTGCTCGTCCTTATCTGCCTGGCTCGCACGAGTGGCCTCTTCTGTCTGTGCAGTCTTCCTCGAAGCCTCGATAGCAGCGGCAAGCATGGCCTCTTCATCGTCTTCATCATCCGTGTTGTCCATGAATTGGAATTGCTTCGATGCGGGCTCATTTGTCTTTTCTGCAGAAGGTGTATCTTTGGCGGGAGATTGTCGTGAAGATGATGCAGCGGTTGGCATATCCCGTAGAGGAACCCGCGAAAGAGGTAGAGCCTGGTCAAGTCTTGCTGATCGTTCTGAGGTCTTTGCGCCTCTCTTGGCAGCCTTTTTAACTCTAAATGGCTCTTCGACTGCAGACTGCCACCTCTTAACCTTGACACCTCCCCATCCATTTAGCATGCCGAGTTGTTCTGCATCAGCATTGATTGCATTTTTCAAACTACCGAAATTGCTCACTACGGCGACCGCATCTGATTTATTCAGGCTTCTCGGCACTGTGACGAACTCTACCAGCTTCTCACCGTAGCTGGACGGTTGTTGGCCACGGATCGCGCCAAATGTAGCATTCTCGTAGCTCTTGTATAACTCGATATACCGTGCGGCTTCAGCAGCGGACCAGCATAAAATAAGGGTGACATTGTTGACGAGTGATGTCTTTGATAGTTCTTTGAGGGAGGCTTCATGGTTGGGAATGTCGACCATGGTGAGGAGTATGCGCAGATTGTATTTGCCTTGAAGGTTCCGTATTCGTGTATAGATGTATTCAGGATGCAGACGATGGTACTTGAGACTAAAAAGGGTCAATATCGAGATCACAGATGTATAAACAGATGCGCAGAGCTACCTCAGGAATAGAGCGCAAGTACCCAATCCCAGGACATAGTCGGCAGGTATATCGCTGTACTCCCATGGCATAGATCGAATGCTTGTGAGAACAGGATTTCCTCGCTGGCGCGGAGATACCAGGATAGTTGAGCCAGACTGCTTCTGAGGTAGAGCCTGTGGTGTTGGCTGAACGACTTTTCCCGCGCTGGAGGCTGCTGGCGGTGCTTTGTCTAGACGTTGTGGTGTAGGTTGCTGGATTCTTGTAGGCGTGGGTTGTTGAACTGATCGTGTAGCAGGCGTGGGATCAGCTGCGGCCATAGCGGCCAGGAGCTCGTCATCTGCACCGTAGTCGTCGTCCATGATGGATTGTTGAAGCTGCGTGGTGTAACTGGTCGGTCACGTCGCTAGCTTCTTGTTATGTGCTTGTGAAAGATGATGGTAGTTCACGCATCGCGTAAGTCGAGTTGAGCAAGGGTGGGTCGTCCCTGTTAATAGCTACATTCAATCAACTACCTACCTTAGGTACTAACTAAGATAACAAACATTATTCTCAAATAGATTCTATGTCTCTTGTTCTCTAGCTTTTGCGCCTCAGCATGCTGGATTTTTACAGAGTTGTTACTGATTAATTCCATCAATGTCTTCCTAGAATGAGAATGCTAAGGCCTTTCTCTTTTGCAGTGTAAAAGTGCATCTACGTCATTCAATCAAATCACTTAGCCGTTGATAAAGTTTACTAACTCAGCATAACCAAGTATAACTAAACCAATTCTGAACAGAATGGCCCTGTACTATATTCGAGGCTACTATGTATAGACTAATTACCACTATCATCGAGGTATCGATACCTGTCAGCCCTGGGAATGTGTCCGCGTACACCTGGAAGATCATTTACTCCTTTCAATAATACGGTTCTCTATTCAGCATCGTCAACTCGCCACAATCAACTTGATGCAACCCAAACGTCGAGACCATCATAATCTATTTTTAAAGTTCGGCTCCTGGTTCCTGTTTTTAGCTTAATGATCTACACCTTTCAACGTGGCAGTGCTGATGGTCTTCAATCACAACTCGCTCACATACAATGATAAGCACCAAACTCGTTGATCAAGGTAAATTCATAGTGCAGTAACGAAAAAAACAAGTTCCTCCAGGTATCTCTCATCCAATCCTATCCCATCCGCAGCTCCAGCCGCTTTTGCATTGTCCCGTCAAGTCCCATCCTGTCATATCCTATCCAATGCCAGGTTATTCCCTCTGGCCGCGCCTATAACGCCAGTAACCACAATGTTTCGTTATTTGCGTACATACACATGTCCTCGTGTACATCATGTCTGTCTCAAGTCTAATCCAAATCTTCTTCTAGTCCTGCATATTCTGTGGGGCTGGGCAATGTGCTCTCTGTGAGGGAGGAATGGATTGAGTAAAGGGAGGCCAACCAGCAGTCGAACATGGTTGCCACTTTTTGTGCCTCCGCGTTTGATGATTGTTGTCGTGTTAGTTGATCGCGCAGTCTCTCGTATGCCTCGATCATAACCCAGACCTGCAGTGCTGCAGTATCTTGTCCGTTTCGCTGTGGTCGGCCTGACACAACGGATGATAATTCGCTCGTGAGTAGATCGAGCGCTATTTGAAGGCTGATGTTTTCCTGGAATGAGTGCCCTGAGGATGAAGGTGGTCGAAATTCATCTGTCCAAGAACCTCGTGGTGTTCCGGGGGTCTGATCGGGAGATGGTGGTGGTGAGAATGAATAAGGCTTGAAGTAAATAGTGTCTCCTTCAACGGCAGCCACATTCGTATCGTGAGTCGCTGCTGACCTGAGCCTGGGTCTTAGCTGACGGGGTATAGCCGTCATGGATGAATACGTATTTGAGGACCGTAAACTCTGTCGCTTGGCTCCGTGGGGAGATATCTGAAGAGGGGTATCGTCGAATGAATATGTCGATGCTCGTGATGGTAATTGTGAGTCCAGCGCTGGGGGACCATCTCTCGACTCAAGAACAGCGTTGTATTGGTCAGCGATCAATTCAACGCTTGATGTCTTCTCCGGCACATCCCTCGCCTTGCGCGCAAGTGCATGTTGCTCTAGTTGTCCGATTCGAAAGACAGGTGTTTTGGCCTGGCGTCGCATGATAGATGATGTCGAGGTAGTTGATGCGGTCGAAGGAAGAGAAGAGCTGTCCAATGATGGTCGCGCATGGTGATCCTGGAGAGTCAAATGGTGGAATTCTGGGATTTGGCGCTGAGAAGATTGTCTTCGTGGCGGAGGACTGAAGAACGCCCTCGGCGGCTCGGGTTCAGGCTCATGTTGGTACTGATGGTGCTGCTGCTGTTGCTGAGGCGGTTCATATGGCGAATTGATCTCTGGCTGAAGATGGTCCTCGGGCTCTGAAAATGAGGGCACAAAGACCGTCTTTGGTCGGAGATAATGATCCCATTTTGAATCGCTCAAATCGGGAGCGCCGTTCTGAATTTGTCGTTGCGACGGTGAGGACATAGTGCTCTGAGGGCTGAGGCTAGACATGGTCGAGTCGGTAGAACCGCGCTTAGCTTTGTTGAGGCTTTTGAGCTTCGGGTCAGGTTTTTGGAGTTTGCGCCTGGGGGGCTTCAAACTGTGACTTCTTGTGAGAGTGTTGTCCATGGCGGGCGGTGAACATAAATTGATGTTGAGAGCCGCGGTTTCAGGATGTAGCATTTGTTTTAACTAGTTGAAATGCAAGGTGAGTGATAAGTGTGGATCGTCGTCAAGGGCGCTTGGGTGAGAATTTGAGGTGAATTGAAACTCGTGTGTGTTAGGCGTATCTTGGTTGATATTGGTCACGTTGGTTGGTGAATTCTGGGGATTTCGCAGCCATGGAAGACAAACATGGGAGAGATATGTGAGGTATGTTATATGACGAAGTTATGTATGTGTAGGAAAAAGCAAATGCGAATCGTGCGAGCTGCAGCAGACAAGACAAGACAAGACGGGCAGAGAGAGTTCAGTCAGGGTAAGGTAATAAGGTAGGTACATAAGTCAAGTCAGCCAAGTCAAGTCAGTCGTAATTATGTACGTAGTAAAGCCGAGAGACACAGTCAAGGCCTTACCGCTTCCCTGGCCCAAAGTGGCTTCCAAGCTGCAGGTTAGAGTGGAAGTCCAATCAAGAGGACCACGAGGTGGATGAGATACTCCACGTCATGGGTCGAAGGGAAGAAAAAAGGGTTGGGGATAGGCAGGGATGATCGAAAACTGGGATTCTGCAACCTGCAACCTGCATTTTTTCTGGCATCAACAGGAACAGAGCAGACTCCAA